AGGAAAGATGACACATAACAGCACTGGATGTTTGAAATCAAAAGATTGTGATTTATTAATGGGACATAGTAATATAATTAACAGATTTACAGAGTATATAGGGGAATTGTATGATGATAATAGACCAGACATAGAACTGCAGACTAACAATGATGGTCCACCAATAATGACTGCAGAAGTTGAGGATGCAATACATCATATGAAGAAAGGAAAAGCACCCGGGCCAGACAACATCTCACTGGAAGAAATTGAAGCACTGGGAAATTTTGGAATTGAAATAATAACTAAACTTTTAAATGATATTTATAATAGTGGGTATATTCCAAATGACCTTTTAAAATCCATATTTATAGCTCTGCCAAAGAAACCAGGCACTTTAAAATGTGAAGACCATCGCACAATAAGTCTTACGAGTCACATGACTAAGATTTTACTGAGAATAATTATGAGAAGAATAAGAAACAAAATTAAACCAGAAATCAGCGATGAACAATGTGGGTTTGTAGAAGGAAAAGGTACAAACAATGCCATTTACATCCTAAGGACATTGTCAGAAAGAGCTATAGAAGTAAAGACTGATTTGTACTTATGCTTCATAGACTATACAAAAGCATTTGACTGTGTGAAGCATGAAGAAGTAATCAAACTGTTAGAAAAATTAAACATTGATGGGAAAGATCTACGAATAATAAAGAATATGTATTTGCAGCAAACAGCAGCTATAAGAATAAACAACTGTTTAGGTACATTTCAAAGCATAAAGAGGGGCATACGACAAGGATGTGTACTTTCACCTGATTTGTTTTCAATATACAGTGAATATATAATGAGATCTTTAATTGATATGCCCGGAATTGTGGTGGGTGGGCACAATATAAACAATTTACGTTATGCTGATGACACAGTCTTGATAGCAACAAGTCAGAAAGAATTACAGTAAATGATAGACATTGTGGTGATAGAAAGTGGAAGAATGGGCCTCAGTTTGAATAATGGGAAGACAGAAGTAATAGTGGTATCAAGGAAACAAATTATTCCTAAATGTGTAATAAAAGTTGATGGTGTTATTTTAGGACAAGTACAGAAATTTAAGTATCTGGGCACATGGATAACATCAGATGGAAGATGCATAACTGAGATAAGAAATAGAATAGGACAGGCAAAAACTGCATTTTATAAATGAAAAACATCTTGTGCAATATATCCTTGTCATTGAGAGTCATAAAAAGAATTCTTGCTTGCTACATACATCCAGTTTTAACATATGGATGTGAATCCTGGACAATCGGTGGGCAGGCCAAACAAGTTTTAGAGGCCTCAGAGATGTGGTTTCACAGAAGAATGCTTAGAATACCTTGGACAGCCAAAAAGAGCAACCAAGAGGTTTTGAAAGAGGCGGGAGCCCGAAGACAACTTATCACAGACATCAGAAGGAGACAGTCATCATTTTTTGGCCATGTTATGAGAAGAGGGAAAACAGAACATGTTGTGACCACTGGAAAGGTCTGTGGAAAAAAGGATAGAGGAAGACAACAAGAGAAGATGCTTGACAGTCTTGTTGCAAAGCATGGACGTGTCTTGGTACATGAACTGATACATGCAGCAGGAGATCGCAGATTATGGAGAGGCATAATCGCCCACGCCAGTCGGCAAGGCACCTGATGATGATGAGAAGTTACATAGCTGGCACTCTGGGAAATGTGGCTGTATTCTGTTTAGATGTCCACTGAGTGGAATATGTTGTGTTCTGAGTCTGAAGATGATGGCCTTGACCCTCATTGTTAGATGGTTAATGATGCCGTTAAGACCAGGGCTAGCCATATGTCTATAAATCTGTCTGTAGAGTTGTCACTGTGAGTGGTTGTTCTTGTGTTGTTCCTTTCTTTGCCTGTCTGTCAGCTCTGCCATTACCTGGTGTGCCGGAGTGGCCTGGAATCCACTGCATCACTGTTCTGATGTTGTATGAGGTAATGAGCTGATCAGCATCCATAATTATCTTGGCTATGTCAGTTCTGCAACGTTCACTGCCCTCCAGAGCTTGTAGAGCCGACATTGAGTCGGTGAAGATGACAATATTTTAGGCCTGTGAAGGGTAAACATCCATTACAGTCTTTGGGTGGTATACTGCTGTTTCCAGTGCAATTATTTCGGCTTCATAATTTGAGCAGAATTCCCCATGCATCATCAATCTCTTCAACAGATATATCAGGATAACCTATGTAGATTCCGTCACCTGCTTTAATAGTAGCTTTGAGTGCAGATCCATCAGTATAAACATGTATCCATTCTTCGGGGTAGGAATCAATGGTCTTTAGCTATTATTTCATAAGGGTCATTGGGTCGGACTGTTTGGTTTCTTCGTCTACCAATTTCATCTGGGACTTCTGGAGCTTTAAAGCAAGCATGTGGTGGTAGTAGGTTTCTTGCAACATTCTGAATTCCTGGGAGGTGGTATCTGTCCTGTATTTCAAGTTGTTTTTAGGAGAAGGAAACATGGAGACGTGTCCCTGCAACTTGGCACCAGAAAATGCAGAATATGTGCTCTTACAATGTCAACAAAGACGCAGTCTGGCTTGTTCCAATCTTAATAAAGACACAACTGTATTGTACACAGGAATATTTGGATTGCAAAACAGCTTTCACAAAGATTATCAACCTCCTGATATAAGTTTTCTGGCAGAAGGATCAAAGATGAAGAAAACAGCCACAACTGCCATTGGAAGAAGTAAGTCCGGATAAGCTTGCCAAATACATGCAATACTAATGCATAAGTCACTTAGCCATATCGAATGCAACCCGCCCGTAGGTCATTTTTCGAATATCCTGTCAGGCGAAAGGCATTTCACATGACATACACAACTCACAGTGATGCACCTAGCATTTAACTCAGTAGCTTAGGCAAGGAAACGATGTACTCATGTCGTCGTTATGGAAACTGTTTATTGGCAAACCGTGACCAAAAGTTAAAGAAAAAAATATACAGAGTTTGTTTATCGATACATAACATGTTTAATTTTCATTATGAACTGTTATATCATTAATGAAAGTGGGCTGTAATGACTCCCCAGCAACCTCTGCCCTGCATCTTCCAGCCCATTTCCCGATGCTAAACGTTTGGCTCTTGCACTCTCCTCCTTCTCTTTCCCTCCAGCCAATTCTTTAATTCTTTCGATACCAGATAGTCGCTACTTCAACATATTTTGATTCTAAGTTTATTACTTTAGAGTAGCAATCTTTGAGTCTCAATGAACTAAAACTGTAGAAATATGGAATGGGATGAGTTGATGTAGCAGTAGAAAGGATAATAAAAGAAACAAAAACAGAACAATGCAATGAAAAGATATGAAACAAAATGCAAATTAGAATTAGGCACATTTATCATCATCAAGTGCCTTGCCAGCTGGTGTAGGCTGTCATGTATCTCCACTGATGTCCTAAGCTATGCATTGCCATTTCTCTAAGTCTGCCTCTTCCACCAGTGATCTTTCCAGTCGTCACAATATTTTCCATGGCTCCTTTTCTCATCACATGACCAAAGAACTGTGTCTTCTCATTGTTGTCTAGGCAATCTGTGTTAGTTATCCTGGCAGTCTAAGGTATTCGCACCATTCTTATCAAGAACCACATCTCAGGCAGCTTTTTATTATCAAAATTGCAAACAAGTGAAAATTGCGCCTAAAAAACCTTCATCAGCACATGACACGAGTATGCAATGTCAGAATTACAAACAATAATAAGAAAAAGTGACATATCTGTCTGGCCAGCTGATGCTGTGAGACATGTATCCTTCGTTTCTTATTTCAGTATTTGTGATTCCTTGCTCACTATATCTCAGGATGTATACAATATATTGTCATTGCCTTATAACAGTCTTTTGTGTTCACACTTGAAATGATGGCTGGCGCTCTATGTTATGATTTAAGGCAAGGCTGTACCCCTTGTTAGATAAAAGAACTGTCAGTATTGTCTGTACTTGCCACTTTTTAGGGCAGTATAGACAGGGGGTTTAGGGCCCCTGGCTAGTGCTGTCATCACAGACTGTACAGGTTATAAATGTGACTAGGTTATAACCGTGACTAGGTTATTTACTACACATAATATGGCTTAGCACTGAACACCCTCAAAATAACTCCTGTAGTGTTGATGCGATCAAAGGAAACAGCCCCAAATATTGCCCCGACCAGCGATGAAGTCATTTACGGGCCAGTCAATGGGCGACGTTGTCATCAATGGTGTAACTTGTTGCTTGCTGTAGAATATATACATGGTACCGCCACTATCACGTTATTTTTTACTGAGTCCCTTATGAAGCTGAGTGAGACGACCTATACGTCAATGAAACACGGTAACACCAGACACATAATCCAGAAAACACTGTATTTTTCAGTTTAATTTTATAGAATTAAAAAAAAAAATACAAAACAAATTTTCTTAAAGCAGCAATCACTTAAAAATAAAAAGACATGACATAAAAAACATAGAGATAGGAACATCTCTGCTACCTCTAAGCTCCTTCTGTGTTGTTCTCTCAGTCTATATCTAAATATAATTGTAGCCAGACATAACTTTCTCTGTCGTTAGGTAATCAGATTTCTCCCCACTCACTTGCATATTGTACTACAGAACTTCTTTGAGGCAGACAGACAGAGTAAAAGAGATAAAAGATGGACAGGAACCATACTGTCTGACAGTATTGGGAGGGTGGTGGAGGGAAAATGCTGTCTCGTCTTTTAAAAAGGTATTTGGGGGACAGGGAGAGACGTAAACATGGTAATGTTCACCCACACTGCTCTGAATGTTTCACATTCTCAGACTAAAAAATGAACAGCCAGACTTCAGCAACATGTCTGCACTTATGTCACCATCATGCACTTCAAGTGAATTTCTCATATCGCTTGAAAAGATATACCTTCACAAAAAAGTCAATGCCTCCCCCCCCCCTCCCTAGTCTGTTCTCCAACTCTGTTCATCTGTTTTCATGCCCAACTGTATGTCAACCATCAGCGTTTCCCTCTCCGTGTCATAATTATGTCTTTTGCTGCTATCCTAGAAACAACTGCGTCCAGAATTGCAAATACAGATAATTCTTCCTCTGTTAGTTTGTATGCCTGAAAAATAAGATCAAGGATTGCATATAGGTTAAGATAAAAAGTTTTTAATAGGTTGCCATCAAGAATTACAAACTTGTCAGTGAATTTGTAAGCCTGAAAGAAGAATACCAGGAATTGTATGCACAGAAGATTCTTTCGGGTCGGGGATGGGGGGGACCAAATCCATAGGTGCTCCGATCTCCTTCTCAAAAGCTTTACAAGTGTCAAACGACTGACGACACCTGTTCTGTGTTGGTTAATGAAACATCTTGTCCCCTTAGTGAGATGTTTATTTCTTGCAGCTCCAGGCTGCACCCCCAGGTCTAACACCCTGAGATTTAAAAAAAAAAATCTCCATTTTGATAGCAGATCTGACATATGCTGTTCAACTTATAATGAAGATTTAATCAGGCACCATATTGGCCATACCCTCTTAATGCAAACTGAAGCCCGGTGTGGGTAAGGATGTTTGGACTCATACAGGATGCAAGGAATAGTAATACTGTAACCTACCAAACTGTAAGAGGAGATACATGGGGGTTCAGCATGAAAGTAGCTCTCCCACATCCATAGAAGGTTTTAGCAGTAAATTCTATTTTTAATAAAAGTTTGTGAGTTGACTCTCAACATGGAGGGATGAAAGGCAGAAGGAAAACAATGTCTGCAACAGCAAGCAGGTATCAGTTATCAGTATAGCTACCATAATTTAGACATACAGCTACCATAGTTTAGAAAAACAGCTACCATAATTTAGAAAAACAGCTACCATAATTTAGACATTCAGCTAACATAGTTTAGACATACAGCTGCAATAGTTTAGACATACAGCTAACATAGTTTAGACATACAGCTACAATAACTTAGACATAAAAAAAGTAAAGGACCCTTTTCAATGCCATCAGGCGTATAGGGCATATAGGGCCAGACCTATATTTTTATAGACCAATCGGCACAAGATGGGTGATGTGGTCAGCATCACACCGGCCGCCTTTACTTTCCTGGGACTGCACCCAATACCCACTCAAGGCTGGGTCGACCTGGGAGCCAAGGTCATTTTTGAAAAAAGTCCGGCTCCGCCAGGGAGCAAACTCACGACCTTCCGATCCGCGACGAGCGTCTAGCCACTCGGCTCCCCACAAGTAAAGATCCATTTTCACATCTTTAGGCGTATCGGGCATATGGGAAGAGCACCCATATTTTTACAGACCAATCGGCACTCGGTGGGTAATGTGGTCAGCATTACGCCGGCCGTTTCTACTTCCCCAGGACAGCTATCCTGGCACCCATTTGAGGCTGGGTCGACCTGGGACGTCCCATACCACGAAAATCCATGCAGCCCGCGGTGAGTTTCGATCGCGGTACGTTGGATTACGAGTCGGACTCGCAACACCTTAGCCACGGAAACTTAAACATACAGCTACCATAATTTAGACATACAGCTACCATAATTTAGACATACAGCTATTATACTTTAGACATACCACTACCATATTTTAGAAATACAGCTACCATAATTTAGACATACCACAACCATACTTTAGAAATGCAGCTACCATAATTTAGACATACCACTACCGTAATTTAGACATACAGCTACCATACTTTAGACATACATAATTTATACACACAGCTACCATACAATATTATACATGCAGCTACCACACATACCTATAGCTACCATAATTTATACACACAGCTACCATACTGTATTATACATACAGGTACCACACTGTATTAAACATGCAGCTACCACACATTATACAAAGAGCTACCACAATTTATACATACATAATTTATACATACAGCTACCCTACTGTATTAGACATACAGCTACCATACTTTATTATACATACAGCTGCCACACATTATACATACAGCTGCATTATACACAAAGCTGCCATAATTTATACATACAGCTGCCATACCTTTTACATGCAGCTACCACACAATATACATAGAGCTACCCATACTTGATACACATAGCTACCCATACTTGATACACATAGCTACCCATACTTGATACACATAGCTAACCATACTCACTTTAGAAATTAACTCTGTATCTGCAATTTCTGATACTTGTTCTAAATCAGATGGCATCTTTCCTAGAATTTCTGACACTTTTGTAATTGTTTCATCCTCTTTGTCATCAACAACTGCTACAAACACACTTGTGTCTGTGTCAGAAACTCCAAAGAAACGAAATGAATCTGAAATCTAGTTACAAAACATAAACAATTAATTAACAAAAATTTTCTTTACGAGTTGTATAGTTATATTTCCTTTTACAAGAGGTCACACACTAATAATATCATTAATTGGCTCTTGTGTGGTTATAGTAGACAATTTTATGTTTAGTAGTTTGCCACTGTTTCCCAATTTTACAAATATGAACATAAACGGTAAGCTATGGTCTATATGAAAATGCTACCATTGTCGTAATAACATCACTTTGCTCCACTCAACTGTTTCAACAATACCAGTGGTCTCGACGTATGGTGTGTGCCTCGAGTGCTAGAGATTCCGAGTTCAATCCCGGGTAAGGGCTGGACGGACTTCTAGTGATTCCCCCTGGTCTCTGAATAGTGAGATCAGATGTCTGTGTGCATTGTTGCCCAGGTAAAAAAAATCCCTTAACAGTTGGAATCGAAAGAGTAGGTTAATGGCGCTGCGCGGGCAAAATTTGAAGTTAAAAGTCTACCCAAAGTTTCTCAGGATCCTTGACGGTGCTACAGAGCTTGTGCACTGTGCTGAGCCTCTTCAGACTCAGACTTGAGTTAGAAAAAGAACGGAGCACTTAAGGGTTACTACCTGTGTGCCATGACATTGATCTGTTGTACAAAATCTCAAACATCAAGAAAGAAACATTACCAATGTTTTTATGGTCAAAGGGAAAGAAAGCAGTCAATTTTTTTTTAAATTAAACATTGGAATTTTGATACCTGATGGTTTGTTTGGTATCTTTTCCAAACAAATTACGACAGCCCTGGTGCAACCATCCCAGAATCACCATAGCTAATTATGTGCTTTCGTATAGGAGAGTAAAGACTACAAATGGAAGAAAAAAATAAAGCCATGACTCACATATTTACTTGGAGACAAACAAAACAGGACCTCTGAATGCACATTTTTGGTCACCATTGCATTTGTACGTTGAAGATGAATGGCTTTGTTTGCTGCGACCAACACTTGGAAAGGGTCCACAATCTGATAAAACAAATTGTTATGTTTATAAAAACTGGTTAATCTTAATGTACTTTGACGGAAACATCCCTAACTGGTCAACTTTTATTGCATGCTAGTTAGGGGGTCTATTCTTTTTTCTCCCAAAATGGGGCTCTGGAACCCACATGAAGAGCCACATCAACTAGGATAAAATTGAAGGTGATTTTTGCCAATCGCTGCGTACGGTATCAGATGGAGCCACTGTTTCTGTATTTACTCCACCTTGATCTTTTGTAGCATGCTTATCGAGTCAAGGAGCAAACATGCATTGGTGAATTCCTGCATTTTCAGCCATTCTGGGGCCTTTGTCACAGTCATGACCAGCATTGTTATGCCGCTGGTGGGAGCAGCAAAGGCTCCACTGTCCTCTTTCCAACAATGGAACTGATGTGGCTAAGCAACAACTGTGATGGAGTTTGTTAATGTAACACATGGATGCACTAGTGGAGCTAAGAAACCATATGATGATAAAGGTGAAGAATAAACACATGTTCACTGGTACTTGTCATTATGTAGCAGTTCCTTTGCTGAATGCCGCTCCCATTACCATCTACCTGAAAAAAAAGATCTCTTGCCTCGTGTACTTTCATATTCAAGGAGTCACTTAAATCCTGTGCCCATCAAGTCGTGACAATTGACACGTGACTGAGACCCTGTTAGTGTATATTTTCGGTCTCGATAATTTAGGACAATTATTTGGAAGATAGCCCAAATTTTTTGGGTTAGTCATGTTTGTTCCCAAGTTTAAAAAAAAAAATTGCATAAATTATGCAAATCAGAATAGTTAGTTAACTCTTTGAGTCCCAAAGAACGCATCATACGTTCATAGGTTCCTACCTAGAAACTCTAAGAAACTAGAAGCCCAATGAACGCATGATGCGCCGATTTTATAACTCTATTTACTACCCTCTGGGCCTGTGATGCTAAACCCCCTGGTACTCAAAGAGTTAATTAATATGAATAAATGTTGAGATTTCAGTTTGTTTCATAAATAAACACGTTGTTTACTTAATATTTAGCACCGTTTCCAGGCAGCACAGTCACATAGAAAATAGAGGCCCTGTTCTGTTAGGGTATTTTCTAAGCCTCGATAATTTGGGACCGTTATTCGGAGGATAGCCTAGTTTTCCATATTGTTAATTAAACGCTTTATTTTATTTTTACAATTTTTTATGTATAAACTGAGAATCCCCTCATAAAGGCTCCATCTCCAGAGGGCTAAAAAATTCGGCTCTACTGGCAAATCCGGACGAAGAATAAACAGACTTGGACGACTTAGTCAGAGTTATTTCCCGTCGCCGCACTCCGAACAGTAATCGGAAAACAAACGAAACAAACGAAACAAACGACACACTTACCTATCATCCTGCGGTTGCGTGTAGGGCTGCGTACGGTTGCGTGAAACATCGTGGCATCATCATATGGTTGCGTGCACAGTTGCGTACGGTTGCGTGAGGCACTGTGAATGGTTGTGTAGTCATCATCATGCGGTTGTTGGATTAGAGTTAGGGGTAGGGTTAGGGATAGGGTTAGGGGTAGGGTTAGGGTTAGGGGTAGGGTTAGGGGTAGGGTTAGGGGAAGGGTTAGGGTTAGGGTTAGGGGTAGGGTTAAGGTTAGGGTTAGATGTGAAAATTTTGACGTAGGATTTCGAAATACTGGCCGACAATATGATGTTTGTGGGAGTGGCGCCACTGAAACTCTGCCAAATATGACGCCAATAGCGTGCGGCTGATGCCCCCAATCGTTGGCGAATTGTGCGTGTGACCAGCATCCAGAGGCCCTCGATTGTTTGTGTGTGTGTATGGGACTGTGCGCGATTATAGGGAACTCCGGCGTCAAAATTGTCAAATCTAACGCTAATCCTAACCCTACCGCTAACCCTAATCCTAATCCTACTCCCTAACCCTAACCCCTACCCCCCTAACCACGCAAATTTATCGATCATTAAAGCATACAAATCGGCAAACACGAACAAACAAAACACACCGAAAATAAAAACACCCAGAATTGTCCTGCAGCGTCGAAAAAAACCCAGATCTAGGGGAAACAACCAAGCATTGGCAGCCCTGATGTCGACGTGACTGTCTTCTTTGTTTCGTTGTGGCTTTTCCGATCACTGTTTGGAGTGCGGCGACGGGAGATAACTCTGACTAAGTCGTCCAAGGCTGTTTATTCTTCGTCCGGATTTGCCAGTAGCCAAAATTCAATTAAAAAATTATAAATTTAATAAATAATTAATAATATTAATAATCTTTTTATCTCATACCTTTGATGTTTTAAGAAGAGCTGCTTCAACCGCTCCATTCATTACGGCCTGTTTCAGATCTTTGCATGATTCAAGGCCGACAAATAATGCCAGAGTAATCGTAGAATCACTGTACAGTGCGTGCTTGATTTTTCTTACATAAGTCTTGTCCATCTCAGCCGTTGTTTCATCCATCTGTGTTTCGGTTTCCGAATTTCCGTCCTTATTTGTTCACACTTTTCGATTAACCCTGGTTTTATTAAATTGTGGAAGTATATTTCGTGGAAACAAAAACAAATACAGAGGCACTGTAGAGATTTTTTTCCGTTCAGTGGATTTCGTAAAGGAAATACAGCGAAGACAATTAATACATCCCACAATTAAGCGCTAGATACTCGCCTGCGGATCGGAAGGTCGTAGGCTTGCTCCCTCACGGAGCCGGACTTTTTTTTTTAAATGACGTTGACTCCCAGGTCGACCCAGTCTTGAGTCAATACCGGGTGCAGTCCCGGGAAATAAAAGCGGCCGGTGTGATGCTGACCACATCATCCATTTGTGCCGATTGGTCTATAAAATATAGGTTTAGCCCTATCCTATATAATATGCCCTATACGCCTAAAGACGTGGACAAGGGTCATTTACTTGCTTTACTTAGTGAAGGTTCCTGACAACGTGACTGTCGTGAAGTCACGCAATGTTAACTGCCATATGACCAAGAAGAGGAGTGCTAGATCGCAGCTTCTACCAGTTGACATTACATTGTCAGCTCCCAAAACCATGAAGGTGGATAATTGGTTTGGGAAACACAAACAAAGAGTTGGCTGCTGTCAACAGTGTGTGCTCTCGTGTTCAGAACATGATTAGAGTCACGATGGGATTCCTATACAAGATGCGTGCTGTGTATGCTCTCTTTTCCATCAACGTGGTTGTCTCTAATGCTAACACCGAGGTTGCGATCAAAAAGTTCCTGGGCGAGAAGTACACGCGTCATGTTGACAAGCTGAAGGGAGTTTCATTTAGGGCATCAGGCAACAAGGATGAGTTTATCCTGGAGGGAAATAACATTGATCTCAATCAAGATCAGCTGCATTTACCCAGCAGCCAACAGCTGTAAAGAAGAGAGATATCCGTATATTTTTGGATGGCATACGCGTGAGAAGTCAAAAGTAGTTCAGAACTAGGTTTTTGAGAATTAAACCTGATTGAATGTTTAAAAAAAAAAAGGATAGTTGCTGCATGGAATAAAATAGAGTTAGCGGGAAATCTTTCAGTCAAAATAAAATACCCTCACGCCCCCCCCCCCCCCCCCCCCCCCCCCCGCAGCCAACCCGTATTTTTATGTGGACTGTCCCTGATTGATTTCTTTTTTTTATCGCCTTGACCATAGACACATTGTGCTGGTGTCTTAGTTTACCTTTCTACATCATTCCCTTTTTTTAATGTATGCCTTGCATGGTATGGTGTCAAAGGGTATTCTAAGTGGACAAACCATTTGATTTGCTGTCTGTATATATGTAATTTAGAACTGGTTCTGGGCCGAACTGTTCTCTTATGACCTCATTCTTGAGTTTTACTTTTTCTGGAATGGTCACTCCTGCAGCACTTCTCAGCCATCTTCTTTCTATGGTTACTGATCTTCTTTTCTGGTTTGTTGTGAATGGCGGAGTGTGGCACTAGTAACATACAGTGGGAATAAATATGATTTATGTGAAACGTCTTTTTGTGTTGACTGGGATTGTCTTATGCTGTAAGACAAAAAAGGGAAGGGGTGTCTGGCTTACCCAATACTTGGTTTTGCTTGATGTTAATTTCTTTATCCAATTTTCCGTCTTCCCAGATATTCAAACACAGATCTGAGATGCCTGTTAAGTGCTTTTTGCATGTATATATCTGCTATCAAGGCCTGACAATCAGCCAAGAGTAATTCACGGATACTACAAATATAGTTTTCCTAGGCTTTGGATCCTTGCATATACTGTCGATGTATGTGATAAACAGCAGCCGTGAAAAGACACATCCCTGTTTTACTCTAGATTTTACTGTGAATGGATTAGATGTTCCCTGATTTATTCTAATTAAGCTTTTACAGTCTCTCAATAAACTTTTGATTACTTCGATGAGGAGGGGTTCACTTACTCCATATTAAGCGTTTACTTTTCATTACACTTGTCTATTGACTCTGTTGAATGACTTCGCCTGCTCTATAAATGCCACATATAGGTTCTTATAGTAATTGTATTTTCTATTAACTGTTTAAGTATGATGATTGCATCTATTTCTCCTGAATTCCATCTTTTCTTTTTCCAACTGTGGTTCTATCACTAGTCCTCAGCCTCGTTTCTATTATCTATGCATATTTTTGACAGTATTACTTATCGGTAATGACTGCATTTTCACTTGTTCCCTTTGTTCAACAAAGGTATAATTATAAAAAACATATTTATCGAAGTTATCAAGAAAAATAACTGTTTGGGGGTTGCCACAACAGGAGGTAACTGTATTAAAGGGTCGCAGCATTAGGAAGGTTGAGAGCCACTACTTTAAGGGTTAATGCAGAAGAAGAAAGAAATGACAGACCATAAACAACATGGAACCATGTGTCTTCTTAATTCTTAATATATTTATTAGTGATGTTAAATTAACATTTTGATATATTACATAATATAAATGCTTTTGAAAACACTGACTTCACATGATGTAAACACCCCCTCTCACTTCCTTTTCAACACATAAAAATATTCACAATACAAGAAATAAACTGACAGAACAATATTGCATATCATCAAAAAGTTTTACTTCATTATCACGATATAGGTCACTGTATACTGAGCATTTTCATGCAGCCTCAGTCCTTCGATACAGCAGCTGTCCCAAATTACCTTTACTGACCGTTCCAATATAAAATAGTTATAACCTTCATCTTCTTCTTTACATTCACAGGGTGTAAACTCTGGCGGAAAGTTCTGGCTGTTCAACCGCTTCTACACTTGAGTACTGTTCCAGAACTTGAGTTTTGCATGCACATCCATTTTACAGAGCTGGCTTCTTTGTGTGCAAACCGTTGGTTCCTTCTTTCTGAGGCAGATAAACTCCAGCTTGGAAGGAAACCCCTAATTTGTCAAACTTTTACAACATGCTTGTTAGTGGGACAGTGGATCTACCCCCCCCCCCCCACCCCCCACCCCCCCCCCTTTTTCCAATAATGAGTCCCTAGAACCCACAGCTGGAATGGGTTATAATTTCTTCTATCCAAACATCGAAGATAACATAGAATGCTTCACCAGACTTTACTCCTAGGTCACACAATCATGTTAGCATAAGAGACTCATCAATATCCACCAGTCTGTCTCATACAGTATTAATCATATCATCTCTGTGGATGCTTTTTCTCACATAAATTAGTGCTTTACTTTTGAGGTAAGCAGAGTTTTTGCTTGTTCATAACCCTTATCACTGGTATCAATCAGTCACATAACCAATACAGAATAAGATAGTTCTTACGGGATGATCTGAACACTTATGGGTATGCCCGGTAGGCAATGAAGGTGATCCTAAACTGAACAATGAGGGTGATCCGGAAATGAACAATGAAGGTGATAATAAAATAAACAATGAAGATGATCCGGAAATGAACAAAGATGATGATCCTGAACAAAACAAAAAAATAAAGACTGCACAACTTACTGCTTGGCATATTTCACTGTATCTCATCGGGTGTACAATGTAACAAAAGATAAAATTAAAAAATTAAGATCAGTATGGTGGATATTTCAACTGAAAGGAACCATACATTTGTTTCACCTTACTGTACTCTGTTATTGTAGTATGCACATGACAAGACATAGCAAAATATTTCAGGCAGTAAATTGTGCCTTCTTTTTTTTCACATTTACAATGAGAAAACACCTTCAATCTTTGTATACATGTTTCTTGGTCTGCATTTCCACTTGTGCCCATTATAGCAGTAAATAGGTCAAAAGTCTCCTCAGACAAAGTAGGTCCCCTTCCATTGATAACTTTGTTGGACTGGTCTACTTTGCTAGATGTTACGGGTGTGCCGCTCTGTTGTTTGCTTTCTGGGTCATCTTGCATTTACATTTTTAATCTGAGAATGAGAATCCCTATGACATAGAATTCATCATTCTTTAGAGGGGTTTTGTGTTAGACCCAGTTTGTCGATGTTTGTGGAGTTTAAAAAGCGCTGGCATGCTGAAATATACAACATGCGATATCAACGGCATTGCAGAACACCCCTGTAACCTTGAGCCAAGGTCGTGTGGCTCAAGATCAACCAATCAGAAGTGAGCTAGGCTGAAGGTCAACCAATCAGAAGTGAGCTAGTGTGTATATGGGCGGTCCGTGGGAAGACCAACATTACTTTAACCCAGTAAATAAATAACAGATTGGTTTTTAAAACAAACAGACAAAAGTGACCTTAATAAAAGCTTATAAAAAATACTGACATACTGCTTATAAAAAAAATCTTAAATACTGATAAAGTATCTAGTAGTAACATGAAAAAGACATGATAATATAAAATGACAAAACATGGCTGCTTACACAAATCAACACAGCACATAATGATGTTGACTTTTGCCAGCAACATTTAATCATGCATTTACAAATACTGGAATGAGTATTTCATCTGGGGAAAAAAGAATATAATATTTTAGACTCTAATGTTTTGATTCAGCTGCCTTCACAGCTCGCCATTCACAGAAGGGAGCAAACTGACAATAGCTGCATTTCCAACAGTCTTCAACATCTACACCGACTGTTCCTCTTTCTCCTCTCCACCACTCACACTGCTTGAGAAAGAGACTTCTCAGCTTCTCCTGGTCAAGTGTCATGGGGAATGTGGAAATCTGTTTCCTGCTTTCTTGGTGGACGTACTCCACTGTGCCTTTAGTAATGCAGGTGAAAGACTGCATCTAAAACCAAATACAAAAAGTAGAAGTTACATAATAGTAGTTTTTGACACAAATCATATTCCTTCCCACTCTATGCATCAAGTGCCAGATATGGTCACTCACAACAAGATGGGATGCTTAGAGCCTTACAATCTGAACAGGCCTCAAAAGATTCCCTTCTCTCACAAATACAATTTTCGATTCTTTCGTAATATCTTACCCCAGATGTCAAAGGACAGTCTAACATTTTAGAGGGTGGTAAGAACGAAACTGTAAGACTGGGTTTCCCAGCTTTCTGATGCTTTTAACGACCCTAAAACATCTAGAACTGGCCCCAACCCACCTAGGTCCCACGAGAGAGTGCAGCCTAGGTCCTACGACTGCATGCAGCCTGGGTCTCACGACTGCATGCAGCCTGGGTCTCACGACTGTATGCAGTCTATCAACCACCCTCTGAAATATTAGACTGTCCTGTGACCTGTGGATTTCCCCGTGTTTGGGGTAGGATATTAGGAAAGCACCCAATTTTCTTTTAATATTTTTTAAATACAATTTTCTTGTTATATTAATTTTATTTTTTTCCAAATTTTTTATAATTGTAGTAATATTAATTTGGGTACATTATCTCAGGCTTTTATGTAAACTAACCTTAGTTAGTTGGATTATCAATCACTGCACTCCAGACCTGTCCATAGGTGTTCAGATCCTCCCCTTAGCATGAGTCCGCTGGCTAAAAGTACCAGTTCTATGTTGATTAACAAGTCCTCTGGTGTGCGTCTCATTGTTTGCTATGCCGATCTTAACTCCCAAGTTTATCATTCTGGCGAGTGATGTGGATTCACTGCCCTTAAAGTCCTCCACCCTTCCCATTCATACTATATTATACTAACCTGTTGCAGCTAATTAAGGTGTACATATTTTAAAGTTTTATTCTTTCGTTCGCTGGAAATAGATTATCTATATCTGCAAGTCTGTCTCTAGCATGAACTTCATGTCTGTTGTAATTCATTAGCGACCCGTAAAGTTTGGCTTGCACCAGTGTTTCTCGTGGCCAAAAGATTTGCCTTGATATGTTGTACCTGGGACAGTCTTGGAGGACGTGATCTATTGTCTTAGGTGTTAATCCACATGTACACATGGCTGATTTGCCAATCCTAAATTTTGTGTACATGAGGCTGTAAAGTCAATTGTTTCTGTTCTAAGGCGTAGAATAATGACTTGCTCTGGTCTGTCCATAATATGGTTATCGTCTTTTGCTGGTTTTGGTGGCTTTCTGATTGATCTGATCAATCTCTTCTTCTGTTGATAAGAGACTGGATGTTAGGTTGTTCTTCATTTTCATCTTCCTTAGCTGGTTTATCAACTCTTTCATTCCTATGAACTCCACAGTCGAATGGTATCCACTGCACAGCTACCTTCCACCGGTAGCCCAGTTCAGAAAGTAGTTCCTGAATACCTGGTAATTTTCCAAAATTGAGTGCCTGAAGCACCGCTCCTGCATCTGTCAGGAATACCACGGGTTGTGAAATATGACGTATGTTAAACAGTGTCTCTGCTGCTATGTTGATGGCTCAACTTGGCTATAACATAGTTTTTTCTCCTTCTTTCAATTCAGCTACTGTAAGCTCCAGCAGAAAGTTGTTGTTTATCGTCCATTTCTGGACTTCAGTTGTGCTTTAGAATTCTGCGTGCGCATCCGTTCAACACATCTGGCTCATATATTTATGCAGACTGTTAGTTTCTTGCCTCACAGGCAAATGCACTCTGACTGAAGGAAACAGCCTAACTGGTTGACTTTTACAACATGCTTGGTTGGAGAACAGTGGGTAACTTCCTCTTTTATGGTCACCCAATAAAAAGGCCACCCCCCCCCCCCCCCCCCCCCCGATCCACATGGGGAATTATTAAAAGATTTCTTTTCATGCTATGCATTTCATACCTGGCATTTGGTGGTAGGCCCATATTTTTTTTTAAAGACTAATCACCCTGGATTTGACCTTGGCTCCCAGGTCAACCCAGCCTTGAGTGGGTACCGGGTGCAGTCCCAGGAAGTAAAGGCGGCCGGCGTGATGCTGACCACATCATCCATCTTGTGCTGATTGGTCCAAAAAATATAGGTTTAGCCCTATATGCCTTATACGCCTATGGACATGGAAAAGGGTCCTTTACTTTACTTATCACCCTGGATTGGTGATGTGCTTAATATTATCACTCCTGTCGCGTGCCTAATGTAAGGATTTCTCCTTCAGAACCAACAGCACTCAGAAATAATTATGTTGAGTCGTTTGGCTCGTATTGGTCTAAGGGATTCCCCGTGGCCAATATACGCTCAACTTATCTCTGGAGTAGGGCAACTCAAGTATTGGCACTACAAAATATGTCAGTATATGAATACAATATTTCTAGGCACACTTGGCTGGACACCCCCACTACTTACTAAAGAAAGCCCCCAGGTTATGATAGTTCATTATCATACCCATGTTAACACATATAATGAAGATACATGCACACACAACTGCTAAACACTTAAAAAGGTGACATAGAGAAACCTAAGTCAGCCATGAAAATGAATGCATGTAATCAGTATAATATATATACATATAATAGTGAAGTGAATTCCAGCTATCAGTGGAAGAATCTCAGAAAATAATGTCTAGATACCAAAGATACTACACAGACAGCAGGTCCTGGAGATGACCTCTTGTCATCATTGGGAAACATAGGAGCTGTGAGGAATAAAGCACATAAGGCATCAAACTGCACTTAGCCTCTTTCTGTCTATGATGCCTCCCTCAGCTCCTGATGATTCGACTGTCTTTGACTCTGGTAATTCTGCTCAACTGGATCAGGTAGTGAAAGAGTACCTCACCATAGAGGACACAGCAACTGTACGGGTACTCAGCAAGTCTCTCCCACCCGTTAGGTTATAACACTGTCTTTGAGCTACACCAAGCTCTAGCACTGGTAGGCTGTTTGGGTTATCTGCCTCCCCATAGTGATGATGTCAGGAACCTTCACAGGTGTTAGCTGGTGGGTAATTGGTTGATAGTTGGTTTATGGTTGGTGGGTGTTGGTTGGACTGTGAAACTTCTGCCAGCTCCTCACAAAGGATTCATCCTGCCAAGAAATAACTCAGAATTAGTCATCACCAAGAGGGTAACATCTTGACAGGAAAGACAGAACAAGCATCAGTCATCATCCCCCATCTGCCTACTCCACCTTGCTCTCCTGTTTCATTCCTCAGAATGCCTCTCCAGACCAGGAGACACAAGTCCCCTATATTCATCTGTCTGTTTAGTGCAAGAGAAGGCAAGTCAGATATACAGTGGAGATAGATAGAGTGTTCTACCACATATATCACTCTCTCTCCCCCCTCCCCTCTACACACAGACACCAATATTTACTGTCAGTACCTTTATTCCTTACACTCCCAAAGCCAGTCCTACTATTCATTAATCTGGGTCAACACACTCACACACTGGCCGACAAAGTCTTGACCTAATTCTGTCCCCATTTTGTATGCACAAACTTCTGTTGCCAGTTTAAATAGTACACACTTGTAAGGTTATTAGGTTTACCAGTATGGGTGGGTTATTTAGGGCATAGGCTATTTAGACTGTACAGAGGAAGGTCTACGTTCGAATCCGCTTCTCTAGCGATCAAGAACGGTCGAACTATGCGTGATCCCACAGCCGATACTGATCTCTCTACAGCAGTGATTACTTTAACAGACATAGATTTAGGTACTCGTAAACTATAATTAACTTACCCAAGCATATGAAAAGTCCGAGACATTCCAGATTGCCTTATGAAAGTGAAATTATACAGGCATCGATTGACACGTCTGGACGCTAGGAAGCCGGCAAGATAGAATGCCGCCGATTAAGCCTTTCAGGCGTTGGTAAAAAAGGAGTTCCTAGTATACATGGGCAAGGAGTAAATCGGTTTCTAAGAAACCTCAAATAACTCCTCTAATATATATCCAATATATATACATTTAAAAGTGGAGTTTAGTCAAAGCAACTAGAAAATGTAGACATTATAATGTTGTCCAATAAAGGCATATATATATAGATATAAGGGACTATATCTTTCCGGACGAGTCCAAGTTTGAATTTTTGCCGATTACAGGTAGGTCAAGTTACCAGTCTTACGGACTGATGCGTAATGGCTTATCATTCCACGACAAATATGATGCTGGTTTGGTGTAGTCCAATTTTTTTTTTAATGCAGAGAAGAGGCAAACGTATAACATAGTGAGAAACAAAGATCTTCTCATCGTGAGACGTACCTGACTTAAAACCATATCCAAGATATCCCCACAAGTGAATATTTTCATTTTAACTTTCTTGTTCTGTTGATGAATGTGCCTTTGTATGCCACCACTTAACGGTGTGTCCAGTGTCAGTTTTAAATGATTCTCCACCATTTCTCTGGTAACCATACCTCGCACAAGATCATTGAACATTTCAGCATATAAGCCTACCTATTGCATTAGAATGAAATAAATAAAAATTATGTTCAAACAGAACAAACTACAATGATATACATGCTGCATAAATAATACATAAATTATAGCATACTACAGTAATATCTATTTTTTTTTAAATGACATATTATTTGATCATGTAGCCGAATCTGCCTTGGGCTAATTGGGAAAGAAAATACCTTTTAATATACTTTAACTTTCTCTGGACCAATCAACGTACCTTGTGAGATTAACTATTACAAGAGTGTATTCAGTAATTGATAATGTGTTGCCATCATCTTTTATATTTGGTGTGAACTTACTAAAGAATTCTGGCCAGATAATTTAACATACAGCACAGTGCTTGTTTTACACCAGATTTTCAAAATGTTTTTCGTCTGTCCTCCAACCCAACAGGGCAAAGGCTCTCAACTTAGTGAAAGGTTATGACATCACCAGCAGGTTACAGTGTTGTTATTCTGTTCTTCTCATACAGGTCTTCGTAGTGTGGGCATTTATGTGAAAGGTAATGTTTATTATCAGATAAAATAAACCTTACCTAAAGAAGACAAAAAATACTGACACTCTAAAAGATCTGAACATTAAAAAAGATTGGCTAACAAGCAACATCTTGTCCCGGAAGCGGAAATATTTTGTTCATATCAAGCCCCATACCACAAAGGAGGGTAAGCCATCGACCAACACAAAGACTCCTTGGAAATTAAAGTGCACAAGACGGGAGACCAAGTTTCTGTCAGGCATACCAGGATAGGAGCGACATTCTGCAAAGGATCTGCTTTATGATGATGTTGAATCATTATTTGCATGGGGCGGTAGGTTATAACCAGGCTGGGTTAGCCATTACGGGTGCCAGAATTACAAATTTGGAGGGTGAACGGGATTTGCCATGTCAGCTTGCCATCCAGACTAAGATTTTAAAACCTTGAGGTGAGGGACCAAAATGAAAACGGTAAATTTTGACCATTTTGGGTTTCCGTACACAACTCACAATTATTCATAGTAGAAAACAGCTGTGCAAAAGGCGTTTTAAAATAATTGTGTTTTGAAGTTCTATTTCTGCATTTGCTGAAGTATGTATGTAACTTATTTATCTAAGTTTTAAAGCTCATTACACATTCAAAAACTTGTATCTCGACTTGTAGTTTTTTTTTAGAGATTTCATTTAAGTTCATTAAATAGTCTGATAGTAGCCCACAGGGTGAGGGGGGGGGCAATGGATAAAGAAAGGAAGAAAATGATCGTACATTTAGGCAAAGCACGCAGGTGAGAAAAGTAGTAGAATGAATAAGTTTTGGAACCACTTCTTCCTATGTTGGTTCCTGGGTACCATTGTGGGGGGGGGGGGGGGGGGGGGAGGGGTGGGGGGGGGGGGAAGAGAATAGACCCAGTGATCTCCTAATTATTATGTCATAAAAGTCAATTAAGTTAGGGTGTTTTTTTTTTCCTCCAAATTCAGAGTGCATCTGCCTGAGAGGCGAGGAACCAACAGTCTGATTACAAATAAGCCAAATCTGTAAAATGGATGTGCAAGCCAACTCTAGTTCTGGAATAAGAACAAAGCTCAGCAGTGGACAAACAACCATAATTTTCCATGCAGTATACAGCCGATGGATTCTCGCCTTTCAGGCAGATGTATTCTAACTTCGAAGGAAATGCCCCTAATTAATCGCCTTCTATGCCCTGCTTGTTAGGGGAGCAGTGGGTCTTCCCCCCCCTTCCCCCAAACAGGGCCCCGGAACCCACACAGTAAAGGTATCCTATATGAGACATGTCAAAGAATTGGGACGAGATAAAGTAAGTCACAATGAAGCTGCCTTTCAGGTAGAGCTGAAGATAAGGGTGACTGCAGTCACTGAACATCCTAGTCATAGCCTGTGTTCATTGATTTCACTTCTTGATGCCTTGCAGGTAGAGAGGAAGATAGAGGTGACTGCAGACACTGAACATTCTAGTCACAGCTTATGATCCATGATCTTGATCCGTGCAGGTAGACTGGGGACAGTTGCAAGCAAGTGAAAGCAACCCTGGAAAAATTGTCAGCGACAGATGTGACGAAACAGTATCAAGCAATCTGTTTCAGGAAAGGACATATCTGCTGCAAGGCACCGACAGTCTGCATTATTTGTAATAACTGTAGCCCCTACTCGTGTGAATTCTGGGGCCCCAATGTGGGGAACAAAAGGATCAGACACACTGCCCCCTAACAAGCATCTCTTTAAAGTTGACAAATTAGGGAGGTTTCCTTTGAAGTTGTAGTGCATCTGCATGAGATGTGAGGAACCAACAGTCGGAACAAACATATGCCAGATTTATAAAACGGATGTGCACACAAAACTCAGGTTGGGGAACCAAGACTAAAAGTCCAGATGTGGATAAACAATCAGCACTTGCCGCTAGAGTTTACAGTGGTGAATGCGAAGAAGAATGTTGAATTAAGAATCGACATCACAGCACTCAGGACACTTCCATTAGCGCTCCGTCCCAATTTAGCAGCAAATGAAGAGTTCCAATTCCAGTGGCACCAGTAACTGTCTGATTGTGCGTCTGTCTCGCCTTTCCCTTGAGTACTGAGCATTGGCCTGATAACCTGGTAACTCCTCGCAGCACCATTCTCCTCAGACCATTATGATATATCTGTGCGGGGTCAAAGGGCTGGGTTGGTGGCTCTACAGAATTCATGGCTGACAAGGATTAGTTCCATTTTTGTGCCAGGACATGTGGGGGTACAAAGAAATGAGCAAGCTGATACGCTTGCAAGAAAGGCTACTGTGAAAGCCGGACAAGCCATGGACCAGGCTGATATACTGAATGCTCTAAGAGAGTTAAGATGTTTGCGTAAACCTACTGAGAATTGTGAATCTGCAACCATGGTCAGACCAAACAAGAACACTACGCAGGTAGTCAAAGAAGAATAAAACCAACACAGAACTGGTGTCGTTAGCCGCTACACGCTGCGGGATTTACTGAGGAGGGGATCCTAACACTTATGGACTGAGTGGTTCGACGTGCAATGAGGATGATCTGTCGACTAACTAACTAACTATCCCCACTGTTCACTCAAAGACGAAGACTAGTCCTTCAGCGAACAGCTTTTCCCAACTTTCAGACCCCAAAAAACTGCTGACTCATCCAGCACTCTCATACCTGAAATGCGTCTTTATCCTGCTGACTTTTTCTTGGAGGATAGCAGGATTTTCTAGTTTTCAGTTCCAATATCTCAACAGTATGGAGGTCAGGATTATACTGTAATTCGTCAATAATGCCATACACAAAAAAGCCGCTCCCAAAAGGCACACCAAATACTGGGACTTCTCTGGCCACACGGTGTCCTTTAGTGAAAGCCAGGATCATCGTTTGTATGTTCAGGAACTTAACCGCCCAGGCATCCTCTTTTGTAATCACTTCAACTTCAACTGGCACTTGAATTTCTAACTCTGTTAGATGGTAAATAATGCAACAACAAATGAGTCATGCCATAAGGATAAATATTCACATTAGATATACCATATTCATTTGTGTATTGGTCACACTAAGTTTCTGAGATGATAAATTTAGGAAATAATTTTTAGATTTAGTCGAGAGACCAAAACCAAAACAGAAGTACCTGTAAGCAGTGAAAGATGGGCCGCGTAAGAACAATTTAAGCTGCAAGTAGTGCGTTATGTGCAGAGTTGAAGTTTAGAGGACACACAACTACATTATGGAGGCAACTGGAAATGCAGACGAAACTCATTTATTAATACATTTTGTATAAATGACATGCAGGGCTAATATCTCAAATACAAGCCACACCCTATATTTCATCAACGATTTTCGGTTAAATACTGCGGCTAATATACATATAAATATGGGACATTTAAAAAAAAACTATTTTATGCTGACTATATAAAGGCTGGGTTGATCTGAAAGCCGCACAGTCATTAACTGTAGAAAGCATGTGAAAAACTACACCACATAGGCTCCTCAACACATGGTTTTTTCCACAGATCTTTTCGTTCCCCCTGACACTGTTTTTCAGACGAGACAGCCATATTCCTCTATAAATACTATGGTCTGATTCATGTCCACTGATCCATACAACTTGGTTTCCACTGGAATGCTAATTGGCCAGAACTAGGATCCCCCTGCTGCATGCAGAGAGGAAATTCTTCATCTTCTTGTTCACAGGCTTTAAACTCTGGTAGACTACTGTTCTGTCCTAGAACCTGAGTGGTGTGTGCACATCTATTTCACAGATGACTAATCTGTATGCAAACTGTTGGTTCCTTGCTTCTCAGGCAAAAGCACTCTGACTTCGAAGGAAGCTCCCAGTTAGTCGACTCTTACAAACATGCTTGTTGGGGAGGCAGTGGCTATATTCTTGTTTTCTTCACAATGGGTCCCAGAACCCACATGGGGAGAGAGCAAATAAATGTATAGATTCTGTCAAATCTGTTTACTGTGTTGTTATGATAATATTTTATGAGATGAATAAAATCAAGTTCTGGAAATCTGAGATCATATAATAATCTTGATTATTCAATTGCTTCTTTTCTTGAGCGCTTGCTCTTAAAAGGGCAGTTGACACACTGTGTTGTGATTTACAGCCAGGCTGTGATATCTACACCTTTTCACCCAACACATCCTATTTCAGTAAACTCTTAACTGGTCACCTCTTACGCCATGTGGAAGCAAAAACTACTATCTGCACGTTTACTGACCTCTTGCCAGGTGGACATCAGATCCTCTTTCTTTCACCTCCTTACTTTCAGCGCTCTCTTCAATACTGACATCCACTCCAGGTGATACATTAAGTAGGTAGGCCTCCGGTGACAATCTGTACAATAACTGTTGTTCACACCTATTTCCTCAAAACGAAATTTACAAATATTAAAACCAAAATTATAATTTGGGAACTGAGATGAGACCGACAATTATAAAGTGGAAAGATTTAGGTTCAGATGACCGATCAACATCCTGGCACAAGTTCTAACTTAAGCTTGTCTGAGGTTTCTCCATAGCTCCGGCGAGGATCCTGAAAATACTTTGGGTAGATTTTTAAGTCGAAATTTTGCCCGAGCAGCACCATTAGGCTACCCTTTCGATTTCCCACTGCCAAGGGATTTTTTTACGTGCGCAACAATACACATAGGTGTCCGATCTTACTACCCAGAGACCAGGGAAAGTTACTAGAAGTCCATGTGAAAAAATCCCAGCCTTCACTGGGGCTTGAACCCAGGACCTCCAGCACTCGAGGCAGATGCCATGCCTCGAGACCATGCAACCCTGCCAATTATTAAGTGGAATAATCAGAAAATGTTATGATTAGTCTAAGGAAGGACATCTTCTGTTTCTTATGTTCAACTGCTTATGCCGCAGTCTAAGGAATGATATCTTCTGTTTTTTTATGTTCAACTGCTTATGCCATAGTCTAAGGAATGACATTTTCTGTTTCATATGTTCAACTGCTTATGCCGCAGTCTAAGGAATAACATCTTCTGTTTTTTATGCTCAACTGCTTATGCCACAGTCTAAGGAATGACATCTGTTTCTTATGCTCAACTGCTTATGCCGCAGTCTAAGGAATGACATCTTCTGTTTCTTATGCTCAACTGCTTATGCCGCAGTCTAAGGAATGACATCTTCTGTTTCTTATGCTCAACTGCTTATGCCGCAGTCTAAGGAATGACATCTTCTGTTTCTTATGCTCAACTGCTTATGCCGCAGTCTAAGGAATGACATCTTCTGTTTCTTATGCTCAACTGCTTATTCCGCAGTCTAAGGAATGACATCTTCTGTTTCTTATGTTCAACTGCTTATGCCGCAGTCTAAGGAATGACATCTTCTGTTTCTTATGCTCAACTGCTTATGCCGCAGTCTAAGGAATAACATCTTCTGTTTCTTATGTTCAACTGCTTATGCTGCAGTGTTGCAGAGAGGAGTTATTTGTAGTTTCCTGTCTTTGCTAGTTACGTAGATGCATTTCTGTAGTGTCTCTTCTACTCCCTCCACCCATCTCTTTTTGGTCTCTTGGTAACCTTTTGCCTTGTAGCCTGCTGTTCTCATGTAGTACGCTCTAGCTGATGGCTGATTTTGTTCCATTCAGACCAGATGAAACCATTTGGTTTTGTTGATGTTCTATAACAGGAGTGACTGGCTGAATGGTTAGAAAGATGGGCTCTCAAGTAGGAGACCCAGGTTTGAACCATGGATTTTTTTTCTGTCGGGAGCAAAATATAATCCTCACTGGTTTTTCAATAGTCACGATTGCCACGGGCAACACCTATAGATGAGGAGATGAAGAAGTCACCACACAAATGAGGCTGTAAGTGTTCCACCAAGTCCCATGAAACTGACAGGAAAGGTTAACCCAGTAAACAAGTGCCTGATGAAATCTGGTGTGGCAAGAAAGCATAAATATCATTGATATTCTATAAAAGCTACTGCTGATTTAAAAAAAAAAAAAATTAGCAGCAAAAGCAGAACATAATTAATGTGTATTATAAAACTGTGTATACCCTAATCTTTATATTTCAATGGACAAAATCTGATCCTCATACCAGTACTGCTGGACAAAATCCGAGACGATTAAATATTTAGGCCTGTAGCGCTGAAGAGGTGTACCTTCCGCTGACAGCAACTTGTCACATTCCAGGGAGAACTTAGATAGTTCACAACCATTATCAAAGAAATCTGGAGAGAAATAGTTTGGTAAAATTATATACAAGGGAGAATAAGGATAATTCACAATTAGCAAAAACATTCAGAGGAATGTAGTAAAGTTACAGAGAGGAGAATCTGTATTTTCACAGTCATCATCAAATAAATCTGGAGGAAAGTGGTAAAGTAAAAGTCAGTATAGGAGGGACTTTTGATATTTCACAACCATCATCAAAGAAATCTGGAGGAAAGTAGTAAGGTAAACAAGAAAGGAAAATTAGGATATTTTACAATCATCAAAGAAATCTACAGCATTCAATGGATGCTGGGTATGATATGCCAGCTGCCGTCTTTTTATTTTTCAGCATTTCGAACCCTTGAGGTTCATTGCTGCAGATATCACCCCCCCCCCCCCCCCCCCATTATCTCTCTAACAGGCCTTCGATTTTTAGTTGATGACCCCCCCCCCCCCCCCCCCCCCCAAGTGTTTGAAGGTCTGCAGGTAGGAGGGGCGGGACATTCAGTAAGTAATGCATCAGATGGTCGTGCCTCCCCCCCCCCCCAACTCATAATAAAGTCAGAAATGTTGTACATTTTAAATATAGCATGTGCGAATTGTGTGTGCCAAACTGCATGTCAAGTGGCCAAATAAAACAGCTGCCTCAAATCGTTCAAATGGAGCTTGTTAGCAACATGTGTTATAAGCAGCAAATTGTGACAGAATGTCTCGTTGCAAAGAGGGAAACTGTTGTGAATGTTCACAAGCATCTTTATGATGTGTATATAAGACAGTCTTGAAGCTGACAGGTACAAAGGTCAGTATGGTCATTGGTTCTGAGAATCAAAGAATCAGGAAGTGGATTTAGTGAGCTGCTTGACTGGCTGTGCCGTAGAAATACGCTGAGGGAATTATTCTTACTGATAGGCGAATCACAACTGAACAATTGGCCTTACAGATGTCAGTCAACATTGGTGGCGCAAATGCAATTATTAAAACTCTAGGATTTAAGTTTGTGCAACATGAGTTCCTTGAAGTCTCACAAATGACCATCGATTGAAAAGGAAAGCTATTTCTTCTAAATTGTTGGAGCCTTTCAATGCTGATGGAGATACCTTTTGGCTAAGATTGTTACAGATGATGAAACCTGGGCATATCGTTTTAAATCTAAGACGAAGGACAGTCAATGGAGTGTCATCATTGTCAATCAGCATGAAGAAAGAAAATTCAAGATAAATCCTTCAGCTGGAAAGGTCATGATGGCCGTCGTTATTTGGGACATGCAAGGTGTGATTCTTGTGGGTTTTATGCCAAGAGAAGAGATAATCAATTCGCAAGCATACACTGAAAAACTCAGTGACAGAGTTCAGCCTCATGAGAATCCAGCAGACCTGCTTCACCACAATGCACGCCCTTAAACAAGTTTGGCAAAACAGGAAGTAATCACAAAATTGGATTGGACTGTACTACCCCATCTACCCAATAGTCCCAATTTGGCACCCTCTGATTTTCATCTGTTTGGTCCACCTAAAGATGCACTCCATGGGCAAGGTTTGAAGATGATGAAATGATTTCTGTGGTGAAGAAATGGCTTTATGATCAAGACTAAATCCGGCATGAGCTAGGAAAACATGTAACTGTTTCACCTGGCAAAAAGCCGTAGAAGTTGGTATGGGTTATGTTGAATAATACAAATGTTTACAGGACACATCTTGTGCAGCATTACTTCTGAATGACCATCACGTACTATCTTTCCAGTAGATCTGTATGTTTACTACATCCACCATATTCTTAGTCTGCTACGTGGTCTACTCCCCATTAACCTCCTTTATGTAAGCAGTTTTTGTCTGCTATCTGACATTCTCTGTATGTCCCATGGAATGAACTTTGGTTTGTCTTGGGATGAACCTTGGTTAGGCCGAGGTCACTCGACATGCACCTTGTCTTACGACATATCTGCTCTCGCCATGGCTCACTCTCTGGATGATTAATTCAACATAACTTGCACTGCTCGAACGTCTAGGATTCATAACATGAACGCCAGTCGGCTTCTTTGTACATACCATCAGTTTATTCAGTCACATTTGTTCCACAATTATTCAGACTTCTATCGCTCGCGACATTACTGGTCACACGCACGACAATACAAACTACATCTACTACTAATACAACCGTCTTCTCTGACTTCTGATGATCAATTGACCACGAGGCTAGCTCAGGCTTTCCCTCGCTTACTCCACCGGCCACAAGTATCTCGTGCCGTCACTTGTAGCAAGGACTTTCTGCTTGCCACAATGTAATCGTGGAGACCATGCAAAGCAGGGTCATCACATCCCACCAGTGTATTCTATTGGTCCAGACGATGTCTGCAATAAGTGTTGGTTTAAACAGATTATGGGCTATCCTCTGAATAACGGTCCCAAATTATTGAGGCTGACAATATACCCTAACAGGGCCTCAGTTACATGTCAATTGCGGACTTTCGGGGTCTATACCGCCACCGCCGAGAGTTCTCCCACGCAAATAAAATCAAGGAAGCTGCAGGAGATGCGGTGGCTGCTGCTCGTGAGTCCCAGCCATCTAGTTTAGCCCCAATCCACGTCGCGCGTAGCGGCGTGGGAGATGCTCTCGGCGGTGGCCGAAGTCGCTGGAAGTGCGCAATATAAGTCGCCGAAAGTCTGCAATTGACATGTGACTGAGGCCCTGTTAGGGTATATTTTCAGCCTCGATAATTTGGGACCGTTATTCAGAGGATAGCCAGATTATGAATTTCACGGCTATCCTCCGAATAATGGGCACAAAAGATAGCGACCAATGGTGGCCAAAAACAATTGCGCACTTTCGGCGACCTAATTTGCGGTTTCCCGGCAACTACCGCCACCGCGGCGTGGATTGAGGCTAAACTAGATGGCTAGGACTCACGAGCAAAGCTGCAGGAGATGCGAAAGCTGCTGCTCGTGAGTCCCAGCCATCTAGTTTAGCCTCAATCCACGCCCCATGAGCGTCGTGGGGGATACTCTCGGCGGTGGCGGTAGTCGCCGGAAAACCGCAATTTAAGTCCCGGAAGTGCGCAACTGACACGTGACTGAGGCTCTGTTAGAGTGTTTTTGCGGCCGCCATCTTTTTTGCTCGTTATTCTGAAGACAGCCTGAATTTCATTATTGCTTCTCACTATCTGTTTTTTCACTGCTTGCCAACTGCCTTTACTTCCCACAAAAAAATTCTGATGCCAATGCCCTTGGTTCAAAGACAATACTACAGCACTCTATGCAACTCAAACCAGTTGTAGTTACGCCTCTCACAACAACACAAAAAGTAAAAGCAGCTGTACAAATGTTTTTTCTTAGTTATTTACACTTTTAGTTCACTCAGTCCCAGAACTTAATGGACCAAACTTTCAAACGGTCAGTCACAGAAGTAAACGAAATAAGTACAAGATTCAACTTTTAGTAATTAAGAGTTAGTCTTGTGTTTATTTGATTTATTTTTATGAAGTATGATAAAGGCTGAAACTGAAACTCGTCCAATAATTTTTCTTACATAATATGAATAACATTATAATATCATATATTATAAATATATCATTTGTATATTTACCAATTTTAGCAAGCTCATCTTCATCTGCGTCACTCCACTCATCAATGTTACTGTCATTATCTTTGTGTTGTGTCTTGTCTGTTTCAAACATGGTCAGTGATACGATTCAACAAACTAATTTATTAAACTGCGTTTCTCCATTTCTGAATCGCTGCAGATTTTAAATCTCACGCGCAGGCAGTGTTGCCACTTTTCTTTGACAAAAAAACATCCAAAACAGAGTCAAAAAATATCTACAAACATCTAAATTTGCGTGGAAAGCATCTAGAAAAAACATCCAAATGGAAAAAGTCACAAATTACAAAGCAGTTAATATGACTTATCCTATAGAATCATATAAAATAATCAGCTAACAATGAATATCACAGTGAACGGGGTGAAATTGGAACAAGTTAAAAATTTCTTATATCTTGGACAAGTAATAACATGTGACGGCAGAAGTGAAACAGAAGTCAAGAAAAGAATAGGGATGGCCAAAAACATTTTCAACAACATGCAAAAGTTACTGACATCAAGAGAAATAAGCAATACATTAAAAATGAGAATTGTCAAATGTTATGTATTCTCAACCTTACTGTTTGGCACAGAGACATGGACAATGAACAAACAACTGGAAAATCGTATCAATTCTTTGGAGATGTGGAAATACAGAAGATTAGGTTGTATTTCATGGAAACAAAAGCTTTCAAATACAGAGGTACTGAGGAAATTGGGAATGAAAAGAGAGTTGCTAGGGGAAATAAAAAAGAGACTAGTGAAATAATTTGGCCACATTAAAAGACATAACAGTATTGTAAAGATCATCCTAGAGGGAAAGGTTCAAGGTACTCGAGCAAAAGGCAGACAGCGTTACAAGTGGGAGGATAACATCAAGAGATGGACGAACAGCAGTATGAGTGAGTGTACATCAAGGGCAAGAGACAGGGCTTGTTGGAGATCCATTGCAGCCAACCTTCATTGTGGAGACGGCACCTGATTGATTGATTGATTGATAGAATCATGTCCTCGTCTTTACTGAATTTTGCCTTACAAGATCCACAGAATAAACTTAGCTTGGATGATGAAGTTGAAGCTTCAGATCCAAAATGACTCTGGTATGCTTTAGCTTCTCCAATTTCTGTTAATACTCAATCAGGGAGCTGATAAGTGGAACAGCCTTTTCCTACTCTTATCAGGCCGAATTTTATGGTCAAGGTAGCATTTAGGAGGTCAAATTTCATCCTGTTTCTTAGGTTAGATTTAATAAATTCACTCCAAATGAAAACATCTAGAAAGACATCTACCATCTAAACGTCAAAAACGCCATCTAAGTAGAATTAATCAAGTAACAGAAAGTATTGTGAACGGCACTCATAGAAAGAAGTAGAAAGATAGAAGAACACACTAGACAACATAAAAATCGAAAGCTATAGTTACCGTGCCGGGAATTGAACCTGTCACCTCCAGACGGCGTCTGCGCCTCGCCATGAATACAAGTGCACTAAGATACATGGTCAACTAGGCACCCCCCAAAAAATGTGTCTCATTGGCCATGTCTGTCGTACAGCTTGAAATCCACGACTATGGAAAACGGACATAATTCATTTCAACCCATTGAAATGGCGCAAGTGGAAGGAAAAACATCTAAATTTTGATGGAAAACATCCAAAGTGGCAACACTGCGCGCAGGGCTGTCGAAATCCTTTTAGGAAATGTACCAATTTTTTTTCATACCAACGGGTAAAAAATTCACGACCGGCTCCATCTGTAAAGCTAAAGTCGGAAGTGCAAAAATTCAAATTGTAGCATTAAAATAAAAACAATAAAAGGTCTTAAACACTTGTACACACATGTCCCTATCTCCATTAGGCCTACATATAGGGCAGCGGTGGAGACCAAGATGAGGTAGAGGACTGGAAATGGGACTTTCTTTGAAGCCAGGCAATTAATTCTAGTACATATATATATGTGTGTGTGTGTGTGTGTGTGTGTGTGTGTGTGTGTGTGTGTGTATGGCGTAGCTTATGTGTGCTCAGAATTGAAATTGATTACCCATTACATAATTGCTGTACAATTATTTTTCGCTCAGTTTCCACAAAGCTGTTGTAACGGCTTCCTAGTGGCCAGACATCTCACTGGAAGAAATCGAAGCACTGGGAGATTTTGGAATTGAAAAAAATAACTAGACTTTTAAATGATATTTATAATAGTGGGTATATTCCAAATGACCTTTTAAAATCCGTATTTATAGCTCTGCCTAAGAAACCAGGCACTATAAAATGTGAAGACCATCGCACAATAAGTCTTATGAGTCACATGACTAAGATTTTACTGAGAGTAATTATGAGAAGAATAAGAAACAAAATTAAACCAGAAATCATCGATGAACAATGTGGATTTGTAGAAGGAAAAGGTACAAACAATGCCATATACATCTTAAGGACATTGTCAGAAAGAGCTATAGAAGTAAAGACTGATTTGTACATATGCTTCATAGACTATACAAAAGCATTTGACTGTGTGAAGCATGAAGAAGTAATCAAACTGTTAAAAAAATTAAACATTGATGGGAAAGATCTACGAATAATAAAGAATATGTATTGGCTCTCTGTCAAAATAGCCAGAGCGCTGTAAGAACAACGGAAGGTATGACAGACTGGTTCCCCATTACATCAGGAGTACGACTCTTCATCACATTTATGGATAAAATTGCACAGGAGTCAGACCAAAACACAGATATTATAAATGAACTAATCTTTGCAGATGACCAATGTTTGTTACAAGAAGAAGAACAAAAACTACAACAACATGTTGATTCATTGCTCACTAACTGTAAAAAATTTGACATGAAAATAAACACCTCAAAAACTGAAGTAATGACCATAGGAAAGAAACACAGTAATGTAAACATAAAAGATCAATGACATACAATTAGAACAAGTTCAAGAATTCAAGTACTTAGGATGCATATTTACAGAAGATGGAAGACTCGATAAAGAGATACAGGCTAGAGTTCAAAAAGCAATGCAGTCAACTACCAACTGACCCCACTTCTTCGTCATCCAAAGATCTCGTTACCAGCCAAACAACGGATGATCAACAGCATTTTCATCCCTACGTTATGTTATCAGTGCCAAACGTGGACAATGAACAAATCACATATGCAAAAAAATAACTACGTATGAAATGCGATGTCTCCGAAGAGTCACCAACAATACACGAAGAGACAGAGTCACAAACGTCAGCATTAGAGACAAAGTTGGAACAAGAGCATACATGGAACATATTGAAAGACAGAGAATGAAGCGGTTTGGCCATTTAGTAAGAATGCAACCGGATCAGATTGACTATAAGGCCTTTTACAGTAGAACATCGGGAAGAAAGGCCAGAGGAAGACCCAGGAAAAAATGGATAGATGGAGTAGCTGAAAACGGCCAGAAGATCCAGAAAACTGTCACTCAGATCACGCACAAAACACGCGAGAGGCACAAAACAAATATTTTAAACCACGACACTGGGCTGCAACCCGGTAAAAGTGAAGAAGACAATAGATAGATAGATAGATAGATAGATAGATAGATAGATAGATAGATAGATAGATAGATAGATAGATAGATAGATAGATAGATAGATAGATAGATAGATAGATAGATAGATAGATAGATAGATAGATAGATAGATAGATAGATAGATAGATAGATAGATAGATAGATAGATAGATAGATAGATAGATAGATAGATAGATAGATAGATAGATAGATAGATAGATAGATAGATAGATAGATAGATAGATAGATAGATAGATAGATAGATAGATAGATAGATAGATAGATAGATAGATAGATAGATAGATAGATAGATAGATAGATAGATAGATAGATAGATAGATAGATAGATAGATAGATAGATAGATAGATAGATAGATAGATAGATAGATAGATAGATAGATAGATAGATAGATAGATAGATAGATAGATAGATAGATAGATAGATAGATAGATAGATAGATAGATAGATAGATAGATAGATAGATAGATAGATAGATAGATAGATAGATAGATAGATAGATAGATAGATAGATAGATAGATAGATAGATAGATAGATAGATAGATAGATAGATAGATAGATAGATAGATAGATAGATAGATAGATTGGCAGCAAACAGCAGCTATAGGAATTAACAACTGTTTAGGAACATTTCAAAGCATAAAGAGGGGAATACGACAAGGATGTGTACTGTCACCTGATTTGTTTTCAATATACAGTGAATATATAATGAGAGCTTTAATTGGTATGCCTGGAATTGTGGTTGGTGGGCACAATATAAACAATTTACGTTATGCTGATGACACAGTCTTGATATCAACAAGTCAGAAAGAACTACAGGAAATGATAGACATTGTGGTGTTAGAAAGTGGAAGAATTGCCTCAGTTTGAATAATGGGAAGACAGAAGTAATGGTGGTATCAAAGAAACGAATTATTCCTAAGTGTGTAATAAAAGTTGATGGTGTTATTTTAGGACAAGTACAGAAATTTAAGTATCTGGGCACATGGATAACATCAGATTGAAGATGCATAACTGAGATAAGAAATAGAATAGGACAGGCAAAAACTGCATTTTATAAATGAAAAACATCTTGTGCAATATATCCTTGTCATTGAGAGTCATAAAAAGAATTCTTGCTTGCTACATACATCCAGTTTTAACATATGGGTGTGAATCCTGGACAATCGGTAGGCAGGCCAAACAATTTCTGGAGGCCTCGGAGATGTGGTTTTACAGAAGAATGCTTAAAATACCTTGGACAGCCAAAATGAGCAACCAAGAGGTTTTGAAAGAGGCGGGAGCCTGAAGACAACTTATCACAGACATCAGAAGGAGACAGTCATCATTTTTCGGCCATGTTATGAGAAGAGGGAAAATAGAACATGTTGTGACCATTGAAAAGATATGTGGAAGGAGGGATAGAGGAAGACCACGAGAGAAGATGCTTGACAGTCTTGTTGCATGGCATGGAGGTGTGTCGGCACACGAACTGATACATGCTGCAGGAGACCGCAGATTATGGAGAGGCATGATTGCCCAGTCGGCAAGGCACCTGATGATGATAATGACTACTAGGGTTTTTGTTCAGCACAGCTGAGTTTTTCCACACACACACACACACACACACACACAAATCCCATTGGCAGCCCTGCTCCTGGTCCTGTTTGCAATGCATAGCAGAGTCGGGGAAGGAAAAGATTATGGAACTGGTCCTTCTGTTCTCGTATATATTACTTTTCAGTGTCTCTGATATTTCTGTGGTCCATACCTGCGTGGTCGACCTCTGGATCTGTTACCTTTGTATCAGTAAAACATTGCTCTCTATGGTGCCCTGTCTGATGTCAATCTGTTGTCTGCAGATTTAGTTCAATATTAGTTCTGTGCCGACTCTTCTCCTGCTATCGTTCCTATGTCGATCTTTCATTCTTACACCTAGCATGATACACAAACATTTCATTTCTGTCGTGACTATTCTCCTTCTGTGTTTCCCTTATATCCTTTACGCAAATAAGACAAGAGACCAAACAATACAATGTATCCAATTTTATAAGAAAGCGCCGCTGGAACTACATCGGCCCTACTTACCCATCAAACCTTCGTATGGACATCGTCATCATCATCATGTATCAGATCCTTTGTAGAACGTCGCTCTCATCACAGTCTGCCCGAAAGAAACTCGGTCTCTCGCCAGTTCTCCCGCCTCATGCATTTTCACACTCAAGGAGTCACTTATACCCTGTGCATATCTTCGTGTCAGTCGGACCCTGCCCCTCCTTCCAGGTACCATGCCTTTTGCTATAATTTTTTTTTTCCATATGGACTCTAGAAGGGAAAAGAAAACAGGGAAGACCAAGAGAGTACAACAATCATCCGGAAAGGCTCAACCATAGTCCTTACAAACATCAAGACCTAAAGCAGGTGGCAACGAACGGCAAAAAATGAAGAGCTATGACCTCTGCCTTACGCGCCTTCCTAGGCTCAAGGGGAAAGACTAACTTCCTCTTAGCTAACACAGCTTTCTGTATTGTGTTGCACAAAGAAGAGAGTCAGGATCAGTTTGAACAAAAGCAAAACAATTAATAACCATGAATTTACAGGGTCACATGTGTACGGTGCATCCCCGTGTGGGTTCCGGCACTCCATTGTGTGGAAAGCATCGGCAGCTTCCTTCGAACTCGGAGTATCTACCCGAGGGACAAGTAACACCTAACTGCACACAAATTAGCCATGTAAAACGGATGTACACGAAAAACTCAGGCCTTGATACAAATCCAAACGGACGAACAGCCAAGACTTTCCGCCTGAGCGTACAGTCGAATGTTGAATTAAGAACACTCCCATTAGTGCCCAGTCCCCATCTTCAGCAGCAAGCGAAGAGTTCCATTTGCTATGGTGCCAGTAACCTTATGATTGCAAATCTGGTCTCATCCTTCCCCTGAGGAACGTCGGTCAGACCCCTGGTAACTCCGGCCACCGCCTTCTTTAGAGAAGGCCGTGCTACGGCTAACAGCCGGTGAAAAAAAAAGAAAAAGAAAGTAGTACGGCGCGTAATTTGCATGCCATACCACAGCATCAAGAGCTAAATGTCCGTGAGGTGCAGAGAACAGATGGCCATGATACTTGCTTCTCACTGTGAAATCGACATCTCGATCCTCCTACCAAGCCACAGGTGTAAGAAAATCTCTAGGATTGGCCAGACCATTTGCACCCCTAGGTCCTAATGTTGGCAGTTGAATGGTCATTAAAAACCTCCAAAATGTAACGAGGAGTATGAACAGTGATATCTACACTGAAACGAATACACCACTGAAAAAAAGTTTCATTTTTCTTTTAAGTGGGGGAGCACTAACAATTTTAAGTATGATGTGGACTCTGCACAGTACAACAATAAGTAAAAGTAAAGGACCCTTTTCCCCGCCTTCAGGCGTATAGGGCATATAGGGCTAGACCTATATTTTGTAGACCAAACGGCACTTGGTGGGTGATGTGGTCAGCATCACGCCGGCCGCCTTTACTTCACAGGAATGTATATGGTACCCACTCAAGGCTGGGTCACGGCCGACTCTGTATATACCGATCGGCGTGGCTAAATCAGCCTGGAAGCCAAGGTCATTTTGGAAAAAAAACTCCGGACCCTGTCAGGACCCGAACCCAAGACCTTCCGATCCGCAGGCGAGTGTCTAGCCGTTAGACAAGGGCGGCTCCCGAAATACAATAATAAAGCTAAAAAATACAGTCACCTGTTTAAAACAACTGTAACGTGTACAGTGGCTCGTTCATTCTCTCTTACCTCAGACTGCCTTGGTACAAACGGAAACTGATTCCTGCCAGACACGATTTTCTCCGTGACTGCAACCATTGTCTTCGGACTATCATGCCTCGTTATTCATCATCACTCAGCAAATCCTTTACAGAACGTCGTTCTCTTCACGGCACGCCTGAAATTATCCATTTTCCCAGCCAACTCTACGGCCCCATGTGCTTTTAATGCCAATGCATCCTCGATGTCTTGTATCCATATTCGCGGTGATTGACGTCTGCCTCGCCTTCCACAAACTGCACCTTCCATCACCGTCTTTTTCAAGCCACCATGCCGCTTGATGTGGCCAAAATACTGCAAATTTCGGGACAGGATGCTGTTTATGAGCCAGTTCTCCTTGATGTTCAACTCATTCAGAATGTCGATGTTTTTCCTCTTCCTGATCCATGGTATTCTAAGAATTTTTCTATAACATTTCAGTTCAAAAGCTCCAGTCTTTTCCCTCAATGACTGAATGAGAGTCCAAGACTCACATCCGTAAGTTGCCACAGGAAAAATGCATGATCTCAAAGTTGTTACTTTAACCAATTTACTAGTGTTTTGTTATAGGTTTTTTATGTTATGTAATACCTGCATTGCTAATGCAATTCTTCTTCTGATTTCTTTGGAGAAGTCGCCACTGTTGTTCACTAAAGAGCCCATGTGTTCGAAATTTGTTACATTTTCTATTTCTTCATTTTCGATTGTGATACGTGGTCTCGTTATTGAGTACTCATAAAAACGTTTATTTATCATGTTTGGTCCTGCATATTTTTCTCGATACGGAATCGTCAATTGCGCTTAGTAACGCAATGAGCTCACATAGTTATCTTGGAATAAATGAATAATTCTGTGCCCCTCCAAATTTCTTTCCAGCTTAATTAGATATTTAAACGTTGTTACCATTTGAAGTAATTATTTCTGCTTATAATTTCTTGTCTGAAGGCATATTCCGAAAAAAAAGAGAACTACTTTTATGGTCGGATAGCGTACCTTAATATGTTATTAAGCCATAGTGACGCCCATAGTAGTAGTTAGTTAAGTTATATCTAGAACAGGCTTCAACGTTTGATTTGCTTTCTACATTGTACATATATGTTATAAGCGTTTTGAGAAATTACAAAATCAGTGACAGAACATTAAGAATTGTGCTGGCATGTTTGTTTATACATCCTACTCGTCGTTCTAATTGTGCAGGCTTTCACTACAAAACTACAAAGGCATTGAAAATAAGAAGTACAATACTTTTCAGCTGTTGTAAAGTAAGATTTTCAGTCGAAGAGTGTAGCAGGATATTCATTGTTTCAGAAATAAACTACAGTCCTCTTTCAACGAAAGCAAAATGAGCTCTGACCAAATATATATTGTGTCAGTAGGAAAACAGAAGAAATCCAAACGAAAGAAGAAGAACAAGAAATGTTCAAGCTCAGATTCTTGGAAATCTGATGTAGAAAACATGAAACTAGCAAATGATGATGATAAACACATCCTAGAGAATATTGAAATAAAGAACTTGGGAGGAAACTGTAAGTAAACAATATTAAATGTGTTTGTTACAGTGCAAGCCTCAACCTAATACAATTTCAGAAGTGTTCTGAATATTTTCTTAGAAAATCATAACAGCAATGAGTCTTCATTACTTGTCACTGAAGTGACAGTTTTAGCTAGGATTATAGCCCCTATTAGTTTTACTTTTTTGTTTTTTCACTGTCGCTACTGTCTGTTTTACCCCTTATTAGGGCAGTGTAGACAGGGGAGCCAAATGCTGTCACCACGGACTGTGCAAGTTAGGATGTTATATTTTGCCATGACAGAAAACTCCATCACCTTACTAAGGGTCGAACCCTGGTCTCCCGCATGAGCGCCCTACATTGTAACTGCTCGACCAGCCACTCCTCTGCATTTTATTTAAAGCCCTATTATTAAATTGAGAAAATTATAATTTTTATGCCAGTGGGCATCATGCATGTTGCTAGACTAATAATTTGTCAACTATATATATATATATATATATATATATATATATATATATATATATATATATATATATATATATATATATATATATATATAAAGATTCTCAGAATATCTTGGATGAAAAAGAGGATAAATACTGACATCTTGAAAGATCTTAACATCAAGGAAGATTGGCTGATAAACAGCATCCTGCCTTGGAAGCTGAAATATTTTGGTCATATCAAGCGCCATGGCGTATTGGAAACAATTATAGCAGAAGGCATGGTTCTAGGAAGGAGGGGCAGGGGCCGACCGACACGAAGATGGGCACAGGATATAAGTGACTCCTTGAGTATGAAAGTGCTTGAGGCGGGAGAGCTGGCGAGAGACTGAGTTTTTTTTTTTTTAGGCAGACCGTGATAAGAGTGACGCTCTGCAAAGGACCGGCTACGTGATGATAATATTAATCTACATATATATATATAAAATGTGATACCTAAGAGTAATAAATTTCACCTTGGTTTTAAACTGTTACAGATCAAGACTCAAAAAACACACCAAGTACAGCGAAACAAACATTGAGGCTTCCTCTATTGGTCAGTGGTACAGTGGTGTCTACTGTTACTGATGTAGTCTCTACCGTGAACTTTCCTTCAACATCACAACAGTCTTCTGGACGAGCCTATAATGAAATCTCTAATAACCACTGTCAAGCCCAAGCAGTGGACAGCTCCTCATTAGCCCAGCTCAAGAATTTCCACGTGAAACAGAAGTTACCTTCCAAAAACAAGTCTCAACGCAAAAATAGCAGTGGCAAACAAACGAGCAAAGTCAAAGATGTTTTCAAAGTGACTTCAGAAAATAATATACCATTGTTATCTTCTTCTACTTCAACTCAGAACATGATCAGTTCTAGACCGCTGTGTTCAAATAGTATGGACACTAAAAATAATAATAATGAAAGCCTCAGATGGGAAAATATTTTAGAAGATTCTGAAGAAGAACAAGAGCGTATCAGAGTTTATAAGATGAACAGGAGAAAACGATATTTGGCAGATGCTCAAGCCAAAGGATTGAGCTGGGCAGTTAGCTACAGTGTTAGCTCACCTTTCCAAGTGTGTGATAACATAGCACTAACTAGTGTTAAGGCAAGCAGCACTTCATACATAGACTACAGACCAATCAGAAATTTTGGTATGTCTCAGGTACACAGCAAGGGTGGAGTTGCCACGGTGGAAGGCTATTGAATGAAATCATTGGTATGTATGTATGTTGTACCCCACCAGGACATCACACAGAGCAATAAACACTTGGTGATACAAAGGGCCACCATTCGGATGAGGATCACCATTGGAGAGGACCTAGAAACCCCATTCAGCCATTAGGCTATATTTATGGCCTGGCTATATTTAGGACCCCTGGCAAAGTCAGAGTGGGGCTGCAAATAACAAAAATTGCATCCCACATAGGGACGGCTTATGAAATTAGATCATTAGTGATCTAATAATGTTCACAAATTGGATATAATCAACAGTTGCTACACAATTTGAAAGTTACATATAGGAAATACAATTGTTTGCTCAAATATTAAATTAAATTTTTTTTTTAAATTCAGGTACAGATACTAAATTATTTTCACAGCAATATATGCATAATTAAGGAAAATGCAGTATTTTTACAACTGCTGGACCACCATTTATAGTGTTAAAATTTTGGATAGATCCAAACTGTTAAAATATTCTGCGTGTGACCATAGTGGTCTTAAAGTTGTCTTCCCTCAATAAGAATGGATCAATCATATCATGGAGATGTGTGTGAAATGTTAGATGAAGCGTCACAGTGATTCTATCCATCTTTTGTTATAGTGTTTTTGGACTGAGTCGGTTTGGGTTGGTAGCTAGGTTCCAGTGTACGTAAATACCAGATACCTGGAATACCCAGCTACCACTTTGAGATGCAAATGTTCAGCGATGAGGATTTTTGTGGCTTGTGGAGTACCGGACTCAAGTGCTCTCTGGGAGGGGGGAGGGGAATTGTACTCCTAGTGCAAATTGGTGGTTAGGTGCTCTGGTCCTGTCAGTACCGATGCATAATCACTTAAGTGGGAAACTAATGGATTTAGGAAGCGAGAATGTCCAAGAAAAACCCAATGCCGAATGTTGACAAGACTGGCTAAATACGTTGGAGTGGATTTCATACTTGATATTGAAAAGATCACACTGGTAGTAGACAGAGGAGTAGACTGCCAGCCATATGTATTAAATGTATAAATGGCACACCATGATGTAGCTGTAGAAAGGAGAATATTGATTTGTCAATGGTGTATAATGTAGCTGTAGACAGGAGACTGATTGTAATACATTGATTAGTCATTGTTAAACCCTGTGGCTGTAGACAGGAGAATGGCTGTAATACATTGATTAATCATTGGTAGATCCTGTAGCTGTAGACAGGAGAATGGCTGTAATACATTGATTAATCATTGGTAGATCCTGTAGCTGTAGACAGGAGAATGGCTGTAATACATTGATTAATCATTGGTAGATCCTGTAGCTATAGACAGGAGCATGGCTGTAATACATTGATTAATCATTGGTAGATCCTGTAGCTATAGACAGGAGCATGGCTGTAATACATTGATTAATCATTGGTAGATCCTGTAGCTTTAGACAGGAGCATGGCTGTAATACATTGATTAATCATTGGTAGATCCTGTAGCTGTAGACAGGAGAATGGCTGTAATACATTGATTAGTCATTGGTAGACCCTTTAAAAAAAAATTTGTTAGCGCTTCATTATTTTCTGAAACTTTGCCCTAAGAATCTATGTATGATTCAGTCGGTCAGTAGCATGTCCTTTGCAGAACCTTGCTCCAAAAACAACCCTGCAGAAAACTTCTAGATCACAAGCAAGATGTCCCGTGTCAGTTATGTATGATTGCAATGCAGAAAAAAAAATACTGCATATGAATAATTTGAAAATATGCTCAGGTATATATTTCTAATACATTCATATCTTTATTTAGTTACTATTTACTATATCATATAATTGTAAATTATATTATCAAAACCACTAAGATGTTAAGAAAAAAAAAAATATATTTTATTCTTCTTGTTGAATTTTTTTTCACATTGTTTATGCCAGGTTTTAGCAGTACTTATCACATACGTTTTGACATATGACCCCTTGTACTCTAAGAAATTGTGGCAGGTATAATTTTCCTCAACTCATCTTCACTTTTTCAAATTTGGAAATCACTGCAGCTCTGAAACGGATAGCAGGAAATTGTTACCAGAAAGCTAAAAATGGACAAATGTGCCATGAGTGGATTCCAAGCATCAGCACGTTACCATGACAGGGCCTTGCATGGATATGTTGTCTAGGAAATGCAGGGGTACGGGAAATGAAAAAAAAACCGGTTTGTTTGGCTACAAAAGCAATAGCTATGGAAACAGTGGTACTGGACAAAGGGGACATTATGAAGACCATTTATGAATGAAATCTGATAGAAGCCAGATTAGATGAAATAACATGTTTAAGAAATAAATGGTGTGACCATCTAACAAGATTGGCATCAGACAGGGCACCACAGAGAGCAATGGTATACAGATACAATGGTAACAGAACCAGAGGTTGACCATGCAGAAGATGGACTGCAGAAATATCAGAGACACTGAAAAATACTATTCATGAAGTAAACAAAAGGGCCTATTCCAGAGATCTCTTTCTTCCTTGACACGGCGAGGCATTCCAGGAGTAGACAAAAGGAAAAGAAGAAGTAGAATTAATGAACATGGAATTGTGTGTGAATCTAATAAGCAGCGAGGTATGAGAAGAAGAGAACAACATGTGTATGATCAGTTCGCTACAGGAGAAGTTAGCATCTACAGTTTAAGATATTTGTTGCTGAAGGCGGAGCAGCTATGGGTATGCCCGGTGTACTAAAGTGTTGATTCTTAAATTGGTAATCAGTAAACCAAATCTGGAGATTTTTTTTCCTTCAGCCCATCTGATGGAAGATGCCTTGTTGAAATTAGAATATGAATTACCAAGATAACTAACATGTTTGGAATATTGTATGATATGAAATAGGAAATATTCTTCTCTTTACGTGTTGATATTATCAATGGGGGAGATCAAAAGATAAACTTCCTTGACTGAGAAAAGCTACAAAGAAGAGTCAGAACATTTATACACGTGGTCTTATGCCATGACTCTCAACCAGTGGGTCACGACCCTTTTGAGGGTCAAATTACTATTTCACAGTGGTCGCCTAAGACCAATGAAGAAACATATTCATTGAAGTTAGAAAGTAGCAACAAAAGTAATTTTATGGTTCAGGTGTCACCACAACATGAGGAACTATATTAAATGGGTTGCACAATTAGGAAGGTTGAGAACCACTGGTATAATGGGTTGGTAACATAGACCTCATATGGGACCAGGCATGATGAAGATGTAACAGGTCCTATGCAGAATGTCGCTCTCATCAAAGCCTGTTGAAAAGGAACTCAGTCTCTTGCCAGATCTCCCACCTCATGCACTTTCCTAACCAAGATGTCTTATCCTGTGTCTATCTTTGTGCTGGTCAGCCCCTGCTCCTCTCTCTTGTCGTCGTGCATTGTTACAATTCTTTTCACTCGGTTATGGTTATTGTTATGGCCAAAAATGTTTCAGTTTCTAAGACAAGATACTGTTGACTAGCCAATCTTCCTTAATGATCAGATCTTTCATGATGTCAGTATTTCTTTTCTTTGTGGTCAATGGTATTCTGATAATCTTCCATATCGTTTCAGTTCAAAAGCCTTTATTTTCTCCCTTAATGCAAGATAGTCCACAGCTCATATCCATATGTTGCTACAGGGAAGTTGCATGCTCTCAAAACTGTGATATGGTTTTCCTTGCTGATGCTCAACCGTATAATTTTAATGCTGTTTAATCTTTTCATTGCTTTGCCATCTTCCTTCTGACTAATGTTGAACAGTCTCCATTGCTGTTTATTTTGGAGCCTTGATATTCAAAGTTTGTGACATTTGCAATATCTTCGTTAAGTATTGTTTATTTTGGGTGCCAGGCAGTTTTGTCTGCGGACATTATTTTGCATTCTTTAAAATTAAACTCTAAAATATCTGGACCACAATTTGTGCCTTCAAGACAAAGAGTAAATGTTATACTGCTTGCAATCCCAGGTACAACAACAAAATATAAATCCCAACGAAGGAGAAACTGTATGTTACAACTATTTTATGGGTTACAAGACAGAATGCATGTGTAACCACCCAACTCAATTTTTCAAACTGTATAATTCATAATATCTGAGTGGGGGTGGGACGTAGAAATCAGGTGCCAAATTTCTACACTAAACTCAAAATAATTGTAAGCAGTGATTTAATTGAATATAACGGAAAAGAGACAGTAAATATATTCACTGTGGTTCTAAACAGACATGGCTAGACATGTGGTATATGGTGAAGGAAGCATTTTATTACCATTGCCTTTACTACAACTGATAACAATCTGTTTGCATATCTTCCTAACCTTGATGATGTTCATCTTATTCGTGACTAAAAAATAGCATCTGCTAATTATTGTTATTGCTCACTTACAAAAGGTTTATGACCCACCCTATAAAATTATAAGTGGTTGAGGACCCCCACACCCATCCCAAGGTTCCTTGGTAGCAGCGTGCTTTCTGGGACCTATAAGAAAGGTATAGAGCTGTAGCTTGTCACACGTTTTACGATTAAAGAGATTATGTATACGGCTGATTATCGAAGCAGGTACTCTGTGGGAACCGCCGCGGTTTGGCGACTAGACGCTCGCCTGCGGGCCTGAAGGTTATGGGGTTAAATCCGCATGGACTGTTTTTTTTCCCCCACATGTGACCTTCAGTGGACCTCTATAAAAACCACTTGATGATCTGGACTTCGCTGATGGTATTTTCCTCCTGTCCCATTCATCGAATCTTCCCGTTTTGGTTCCGGTGCTTTATTATAGAGGGAAAAAAGAATATACCCACTGCCTACCCAAAAGCATGTCGTATGAGTCGACTAATTGGGAGCTTCCTTCAAAGTCAGAGTGCATCTGCCTGAGAGGCAAGGAACCAGCAGTCTGTATACAAATGAGTCAGACCAAAAATGGAAGAACAACCAGAAATTTCCGCCAGAATTTACAGTTGGTGAACACGAAGAAGAAGAATTTTCACGAAATCAGATGCAAGATAAATTAAATATGCTTGCTGAGAGGT